TTTTTTTATAGATTTTTAAAGAAGCTAACATGTAAAAAACATTCAGAATTTGTCAAAGTAAAATTCAGTGATGTTCGTTACCAGTCTATGATACAGTGCTCAGTCGTCGAAGAAACTTTTGCTCCTTTTTAAATATGTTGCAACATTTCAGGAGGTTTCATGTCAGCAAAAGCTAAAATATCCTCAGAGCTAGAAACGCTCAGTTCTTTTCAGCAAAAAATCCCACAAACACTATTCATCTAAGATTGTCAGAGATATTTGTTGCAGTACATTCAAATGTTTCCTACGTTCTGTTTACCCACAAAAACAGTACCAAGCAAGTCTTTGAATCTGCACTCACCATCAGTACACCATCTGTCTTTACTACAAAACGTTTGTCAGAGGTGTCGAACAGAAATCTTGTGCGATCTGTGCAGTCAGTGAAGCCCACTGAGAACAGAGAGAGAATAGTTATTGTTTAATTACTGCAGTTCATGAAGAGACAGAAAAATAAGTGGCACGTCTTAAATGCATAAGAATAAAGTAATAAAAACTGTTGTTAAATCAAATAGAAGTTAAGAAATATCCTATGCTTTGAAGCTCTATGAAGACTCATGTATCAAAGCTGAAAGCAGAAAAATTGGTATTAGTTGATATCATGCCTGGTATTAGTTCGGCTACTCTATAAGTATGTTAACTGGTCTAGTTTTATTACACCTCCTACATATCTGCAAGCTGCTTCGAAACCAACTTCAGCTTCAGGTGTGGTGAAATGTGCACATGTGATGTGAGATGTTTTGTCATCATTGTAGCTGTGCATGACAAACAAATATTTTGATTAATATATTTTTGGTATGGTGACGTAGTGGTTAATACTTTGGCTCACAGCAAGATGGTCTTGTGGTACAAACCCAGGAGCTCCAGGTGCAATAGTTTTCTCACTTGTGAAAAATGTGTTTGATTAAGAAATTTCAGCCCTGAAATTCTCAGCTATTTGAAATGTGCTATTTGCTTTTAACCTGTTGATGGCCTCTCAGAAACAAATCCCCACTAACTGCAACTTAAAACCACTACTAACCAATATACAACCATTTCTGTTATTACCTTTGCCCAGTACTGTGCCTCTTGTCAGGTAGTTTCTCGTCACACTGAAAGTGAGCTGATCTGACTGAAACCCAGGTACACATACTGGCTCCTCAGCAGTCACTAAATTTGGAGGCTAGGACAGAAGAAACAGCATTTTAATGGTTGCCACGAATGATTCAGATTCCTTTAAACAATTACTTGTGCATGCAGTTGTAGGTAGATCATCAGAGACATTACAGAGTTTTCAAAAGTATCACCAAGCAAGAAAAAAAACCTTATCAGTGCGGTTACTTTCTGGTTCACAGCAAAATAAGAAAAAAGTGTTTATAAGTAGGACTTCCCTGGTGTAGGCACAGGGCGCAGGATGTTTAGTAGCAACATGTTTCAGTCAGTCGTGTGGTGTTGTGAGAATGAGGACCCAAAATGCAGGCATTGGCTGTGATGCAAGTGAGCTCTTTATTACAC